GGGGGTTGCACCTCCGAGCCGGGCCAGGCCTCCTCCCTCCTCGGTAGTGCCACAACGTGGCCCCTAAAGCGCTACGGCCGCTTCCTACCCCCGCAGGAGGGTGAAGATGAAGGGCAAAACGCCTCCTCGTGGAAGGTGACAGGCGGTGCCGGGGGGCTGGCTGCTTGGGTTTGCTGTAACTGGCTCCAGTGGGGTCTAGGAGGCCGCTGTGTAACAAGCAGTAATAAGTGAGGCTTTTGCGTGTTTCTTGCACCTCGTGCAGGAATCGGGAGAGATTTTGCTTCGTGCATTATTAAACACATCGATGATACGATAGTTAGTGCCCCCCCCTTTTTTTTTATTCCTTCCTCCAGCAGTAACCTGTGGTATTAAAAACTATAGGTCAAGTTGGAACAGTCCAGGTGGTTGTTTAAAGTAGTTAAATCTGTATATGGAGTTATAATTAGTAAAATATTCCTAAATGTGCCTCCTGTCTGTGGGAGTGGAAGGCAAGTTCCATTACTCAGAGGTAAATTACACACCTGATTTCTAGCACCGACCTCTGAAACCTCCTAATTTGCACTAGAAATGGAAAATGTACATTCTGTGCTTACAGGGCTAGATTTTTATTTTGTCTATCTTTTTTAAAGGTTTTTGAATCAAATGAAGAATCAGGCCATCTTATCCTTACCATTGTTGTATCTGGCCATTTCTTTATTTCCCAAGGGCGAACAGTACTGGTAAGTTTCTCATGTATAAAGAACATTTCTCTGTTCAGGTTAGCATCAGTATTAACTTTGTTTCCCTTCGCAGCTTCACATTCTCTCCCACTGAAAGGAAACTGCTCATGGTAATTCTCATGTGCTGCTTTCTCTCTACGTTTACCAGAATAATACTAAATGCATTATTTCATACTGAGGAACAGTGTTTCTTCTGTGGCTCCAAAAATCTCGATTAAGATGTAATACTAAGTGCTGCTGGTGTTGCGAGATACATGTTTGGTTTTTTTCATGATTCTTCTGCCTAAGAAAAAAGAGAAAATACACTTAAGAAATAGATAAAACTATAACTATTAGACCCTATAAAATTTGCTGTATGATCCACATAGTTTCTTACCAATGACCTGTTAGGATTTTGGCTTATCAAAGGGTACGGTGGGGTTATTTCTATGTTGGGTAATGTGATCTAACATACATATTATATTCATGGAGACAAAACAACAACTTCAGAGTTGCGTCAACTGATTTTCCTGTAGCCTATACTTAAGCATGACCAGCTGCTAAACTAGAGATTTCACAATGACACCAAAGAGGTTAACAGAATGTATAAGAGAGTATATTGTAGCATTAAATATGTATAAACTTGTAAATTAGTTTTTGCTGTGCCTCTTAAAAGGTCTTAAACTTACAAGGTATTTCTGTAAGTATAGGGGGAGAACCAAGGATACCCTTGAATTTTTTTGGCCTAGGAGTGTGTTAAGGGTATTGAATAGATAATGAATGAGCTAACAGAGAGCTGTCAGCTGTCAGTCTGGATATCCCTCATACGAGACATGATATTTGGCTCACATATTTAGCGAGGAGAAGTTAGATGTTCTTGGACAAGGTAAAACTGGAAAGTATTTCAGCAGTTGCGTTGAATAAGAAAAAAAGGGATGGAATAATTGAAGGTCCAGATAGGTAAAAGAAATGCAACTGAAATGAAACTTGCTGCTGTCTCTTGCCAAATTCTGTTTGGAATGAATGAGTGCAGAATGCACCTCTCCTGGGGCTGGTCCTGTTTTCAGTATCCCGATGAGACGGCTGTAAGTGTTTAGTAACTAGTAGGCTGATATTACTTTATAGAATGTCCTTGAAATAACCATGTAAAGGCTAACTGAAAGTAGATTTTAATAACTAACTGAAGAGCAAAAAAGGCACAGACAAACGCTGTAGCCCTTTAAAGACTGCGTCTGGCAAAGACTGAATCTGGCAAGTAACAGCGGGCAGATAAAAGCGTGCTGTGGTAAGCGATGAGTGCGGGAAGTATAAGAAAAGCTTTATAAAGACTTGGCTGAGAAAAGCACTTTCTTGCAGCTCTTGGGTTTAGTGGCTAGTGAAGCTTTCAGGCAGCTGCCTTGCTTGAAATGCCAGATGAGGAATTTCTGACATCCATCAGGTTCGTTTCAGCTTCGAAGAGACACTAAGATATTGCAGTAACGATCACAGCCTAAGAATAGTGCAGAATAGAGCTGGAACAGACATGCTTAGTAAATGTGACCGATATCTAATACTGAGAGTTCAAAAGAAAAAACAAGTCGTTTCATTTTTTTAAAGAAAAACAACATTTATTTTAGCAATGCTTCTATACCAACCTTAAGGCCAACACCAACACCTTTTTATTAAGTTTAGAGAAAAAGTATACAAAACTGATGTCGTATGCATTTTAAAACCCAATTGTCAATTCCTTTGGGTGCACTTTTTTGAGTGCATGTAATTGGGATCATGCTGCAGGTATATTCTGGGCAGACAGAACTAACCTAGTGTGAAATACGTCGGTACGACACGCCCTATGCCTATTGATATCTCTTGGAGATTGGAGCAGTTGCAGTCCTCTCACTGTTCCTCTTAAACATACTTGACTTGCTCAAAAACTTTGCAAATACCCAATCTGGTCATTCCGAACACGGTCGAGCATCTTCAGAACTACGTTAGGTTTCCTGTTTACAAGGGATTTGCTCCAGCATGCCTAGCTTAGCTTTACTCCTTAGGCTTGTTCCTCAGACACACATCCTCCCAGAAATGCATCCCTTTTCCAAACACTATGCAAGACCGATACTCGGCGATAAAATTCTTCTTCCCTGGACAATCCCAATCTACAGGTATCTTTTCAGGCTTTGAAGAAAAGTCTGTGGAATAGCAGCTAGTATCGTCAAACAGAAAGGTGATGCAGAGGGATTGTGCTGAAAAAGGCAGCACAGGCAGTGATGCTGTTGACCAGTAGCTGAAAACAGCATCGATATTGAATCAAAGAAATTCACTCAATAGCCAATGTGACTATTAAGCAGGTATCCTTTATTGCAGCGCTGGAGTAGCTGATAACAGCATCGATATCAAAGTACATATGACCATTACTGGATCTTTGAATGGTTTTCTTCAATTAGCAGGGACACTAGAAACTCAGTATCATTGTCCAAGGACAGTTTACACCACTGTGACGCTGTTGACAATGGGATCTGGACAGCAGGAGCAGCTTACAATGCGGTAGACTCAATGCCAGCCAGAACTGCGCAGGCCACTGGTGAAATTTTGCAAACTCCTTATTGAGATGCCATATTAAAAAGAAGTTGTAATACTGTGCAGTCTGTGTTATTGCTGTAGAAATAATCAGGCTGTAGAAATGGTTAATCTCACTGGTTCTATCTCCCTCTAGTCTCCAGCTCTCAGGAGTTGTCAGAAACCTGTCACAATATTTAAACAGGCTTTGCACGACTAAGTACATATAGTTCTTTTGAATCTGTCACAGACCAAATCCTCTCACTGGGGGTCCATTATAACGGACATTTTGTCACAGAGGATAATGTGAAAGTTTCTGCTCCAGAGGGAACGTATCAAGTTTGATAGAACTCTGCAATTATTGGAATGATTCAGCTTGTGGTTTTACTGTGTATGTTCATTTCTGCTTGCTGACCTGGGCTACCGAGAATTTCCTTTTTATTGCCAAGGTGTTCTCCAACACCTACGTGCTGCCTTACTCGCATTGAAATTCCCTCTGATGTACCTACAGAACTGTTTCTTGCTATGTAGTAACTGCACCCTTAAGTTGTTGATGTCTAGTCTTTTGATCTATCTTCTAATCCCTACTTTTCAGACCTTTTGATGTTCTACAAGCTCCTGGTTTTGAGGGAACTGGATAACAATTATGATAGCTTTGTACCGTGTACCTCCGTACAGGAGCACACTGAGGCACAAGATCTGTGTCACAGGGACACAATTTCCTTCTCAACTTGAATAACTATATTGTATTTTTGTACAATTTCTGTGGATGGATAATAAAGGGAATTTTTCCCCTCTAACAGTAATCCAAGAATGAACTGAACTGCTAACTACATTCCAGAATTCATTCAGTGGTGAATGTCCCTAGCTTTTTTTTTTGACAGCAGCAGTAACAATAGAACAGGAATCCTTGCCCCGCCCCAAGAATTAACATGATCATCCTAAGTAATAGTTTTTTTAAAAAAGAAATTTTTCATCCAGCATCTGTTCCAAAGAAAATTAATTACTAATTGGATGCTTTTAAAACGAGTAGTACTGTAGTATGGTAAGAAGATATCTCTTCTGGTTTAAAATTGGCAACAAATGTAGTAAAATCAGTGCATTGATAGATGTAAGCTGTCTTGGTTTGTACCTTCTGTTTTCTTTCGGAAGACAAAAGTCAGAGTGCATCTGTTCGTCAGTGGTGTGTACATTTTACAAAAGCCAAAATGAACCTTTTTAGCTGCCAGCAAGCTCCGCATTATGCTGATAATACTGTGGGTGTATGCTTTTTTAAAAAAGTCCAGAAAAAAAAAAATAAATCCAAGTCACATACTGAAAAGTGTAAACTTCCAGACTTTGGCTGGTTTGTATTTCACAGAGAACTTTTCTTTGTTCATTCTTCTGCAGTAAACAGTGGTGTTAACTAAACTAATGCTTGCCTGAACTCGGTGCCGATCAGCTTCACAGTTAGTTTTCCGCTAAACTAATCTCATTTGGCCAACGTACTCTCCTGCCAGTGTGAAAACAAGAGGACGTAGCTTGTGTGTGTGACTTCTTTACTTAGTGAATCCTCTGGTGTCTACCTTTCATCTACAAACAACTTTCATTACAACTCCATTTGCGTAAAACTGAGGTGAAAGAGTTGTGTAGAAATGGAAATCTTTCTTTCATTGATGGTTGGATTAACAAGATCCATTCTAGGAAGAATAGTCGAGTGTTCCTGGCTCGAAACATTTTCTCTAAAATAGATGTATTTATGTATTCTCTTAGTCCTTTTTATTTTCTTAAAGCAGGAGTGTTAAGAAACCTTTTCTTTTTCTTAAAGAAATCTAGTGATTTAGAGGCAAGTGAGACTATGATTCTTATATGATCCTTTTCTACGAACAATATTTATAAAATAGCAATAAAATATTCACATATCCTAACAACTGATTTTTTTTTAATACATATGGTAGACTACAGAATTATTTTCGTGAGCAATAAAACAGTAGAATATTTAATGAATTCCCTTCTAGCAATCTTTTCACTAATGGCAGTTGAAATACTATTTTCTTGCCAAAAAGAATGCTACAATGTACGCAGTGAGTCTCAGCACTTCTAAACCAGGTAGATTAGTAAATACCTTGTGCTGCCTACTCTGCTATGTGGTAAGGTGCCATACGTTTGAAACACAGTTGATTACAGTATCCGTGAACGCTCCAGAACCCATCATTAAAGTACTTCCATGCTACTATTAACAAATAATTGCGGATGCGTTGAGTGTTTCTGTCAGTTGCTCAAAGAAAACAAATTATTTCTTTTAATGGCTAAACTTTTGGGGAATGGGTATGCATTCAAGATCACTTTAAACTTTCTTTAATGACTCTGCCAGAGACGTACTTGAAACTATTTTAACAAGGAAACAACTGCTTGCCTTTTAAAATACAATCTACTTCTTGTGATCAGCCAAATCGAATGAAGAGGAGAGTAAATAGAACTTCAGAGCGTGGAACATAAAAATCCTT